TTTAGTATAGAGCTTAGAAAAAATTCGCAGTGTGAGATAGGAAAAAAGTAAAGCATTTAGCAACATTAGCACGGAAAAAGGCACTCCTTTAAAGGCAAGGAAGGGCAAAAATATTTTAAGTCAAGTGATAGCGATTGCTGTATGAGTCGTAGGATTTTTGAATCAAGCACGGGCAACGCCGGGCCATGCTGCTAGTTATTTAATACGTCTCTGCTTATTGTTCGATAACCTCTTTACATCAGTGGGAAATATTTGCCGATGACAAGCAAAACATTCAGGTGATCATCTCCCAACCTTGTTGTTAAACGACTTAGTATATTTCATTTTTGAAAAAAGTTATATGCAAGCATATACAGTTCCAAATAATAATAATACCATTATTTCGCATTATTCAATAGGCTTTTATATTTTCCGCTTGTTAAAACATATTTCTTGTAGAAGTTGGCAGTGGACTCGGAATTAAAATTTGATTTAAAAAAATTCTTCGCATTGTAATCCAACTGATATTTTTCTGGCACTAACTCCACAACTTAATTAGACAATTAGGGCCTAGGTTTTAAGTTGGCGGGCTGGATAGAAATACTTCGCGGGCCGGAGAGTGGCCCAAGAGCCGGGGGTTAGACAAAGACGCAAATGCCCCACGGTGGTAGATGACTCCACAGTATTCTGTGATCGTTGTCAAAAAACGTGCCGATCGATCTTTGGTTGTTTTATCCATTAGCGACGGAAAAGACCCTATATTGAAAAATGCTACGAACTTTTGTTGCAACTCATTTTTCTAGCTTTAGAAATATTTCTTAATATTACTTTTATTCTTCCCCACCCCCTTTTAATTCTGAAGTTCAAACGAATAAATGTCGAACTCCTTCGTTCCCGTGACACCATCAGCCTTCTTACTTGTATATTCGACACGTGCCTCTTTGATTCAATTCAATTTGTTCACCCTCCCGCGGTGCGGCATAATTCCTTTAATAGATCGCTCCGGGCAATATAGTCAAACGCTCTTCTTCAGAGGGTTTATGCAGTTTCTTCATCGCTTCAAGCTCTCTTAGGATTGCGTAAGGTCAACAATCTCGCTGTTTTAGCGCAGCCCGGAGGCTTCGGACATCATGGAACATGTTCACATACATAAAAAGACATGACTTGTACTAAAAAAAAAAAAAAACGAGGTTTCACGCTAACCCAAAGTGTCTGCATCAGGTGAGTGAGGGAGAATGAAAGAGAAATCGTTTGCCTGGAAGGTGAAAGACTTATGTATCCCAAAACAGTGCGAAGACGTTCGGGTACTACTGAAGTTGATTGGTCCATTTTTATAATTCTTTTCTTACGCCTTTTTCTTTTTCTCTCCATTGTTTCATTTTCTCTTTTTTCTTTTCTTTCATTTTTTTCTTTTCTCTCTCTTTTTCTTTTTTTCTTGTCTTTTTCTTTTCTTTTCCTTTTTCCCTTTTCTCTCCCTTTTTTTTACTTTTGTTTCCTTTTTTCTTTTTCTGTTCTTTGCTTTTTTCTTTTTCTCTCTGTTTTTTAATATTCCTTTTATCTCCTTTCTCTCCTTTTTTCCTTTCTCTCCTTTTCTCTCCTTTCTCTCCTTTTATCTCCTTTCTCTCCTTTTTTTCCTTTCTCTCCTTTTTTCCTTTCTCTCCTTTTATCTCCTTTCTCTCCTTTTTTCCTTTCTCTACTTTTTTCCTTTCTCTCCTTTTCTCCTTTCTCTCCTTTTTTTCCTTTCTCTCCTTTTTCCTTTTCACTCCTTTTTTCCTTTCTCTCCTTTTTTTCCTTTCTCTCCTTTTTTTCCTTTTCACTCCTTTTTTTCCTTTCTCTCCTTTTATCTCCTTTCTCTCCTTTTATCTTCTTTCTCTCCTTTTATTTCCTTTCTCTCCTTTTTTCCTTTCTCTCCTTTTTTCCTTTCTCTCCTTTTTTCCCCTTTCTCTCCTTTTTTCCTTTCTCTCCTTTTTTTCCTTTTCACTCCTTTTTTTCCTTTCTCTCCTTTTATCTCCTTTCTCTCCTTTTATCTTCTTTCTCTCCTTTTATTTCCTTTCTCTCCTTTTTTCCTTTCTCTCCTTTTTTCCTTTCTCCCCTTTTATCTCCTTTCTCTCCTTTTTTCCTTTCTTTCCTTTCTCTCCTTTCTCTCCTTTTTTCTTTCCTTTTTCCATTTCTATTTCTTTTCTCTCCCATTTTCTGTTCTTTCCTTTTTCCTTTTCTCTTCTCTTTTCTTTTTCTCTCCTTTTTCCTTTTCACTCCTTTTTTTCCTTTCTCTCCTTTTATCTCCTTTCTCTCCTTTTATCCTTTTCTCTCCTTTTCTCTCCTTTCTCTTCTTTTATCTCTTTTCTCTCCTTTTTCCTTTCTCTCCTTTTTTCTTTTCTCTCCTTTTTTCCTTTCTCTCTTTTTATCTCCTTTCTCTCCTTTTTCCCTTTCTCTCCTTTTTTTCCTTTCTCTCCTTTTTTCCTTTCTCCCCTTTTATCTCCTTTCTCTCCTTTTTTCCTTTCTTTCCTTTCTCTCCTTTTTTCTTTCCTTTTTCCTTTTCTTTTTTCTTTTCTCTCATTTTCTGTTCTTTTTCTGTTCTTTCCTTTTTCCTTTTCTCTTCTCTTTTCTTTTTCTCTCCATTTTCCTTTTACTCCTTTTTTTCCTTTTCTCTTTTTTCCTTTTCGTTCATTTTTTTTTTCATTTTCTCTCATTTTTTCTTTTCTTTTTTTTTTTTTTTTTTACTTTTTCCCTCCGTTTTTTATATTCCTTTTCTCTCCTTTCACTCCTTTTTTCTTTTCTCTCCTTTTTTTTTCTTTGGTCACCCCCCCCCCGCCAATCCCCAAAAAAGAATCCGCAGTATTATTGGTCTTGATCTGGCATCTCAGCTTCAGTCACATTCCCACCGCCGTAACGCAGATTCACTGTGCCTTTTTCATAAATATCTTCATCGTAATTGTTCTGATGAATTTTTGTTCTCTGGCATGACTATGAATTTAAGCAAAGTACTACATTAGCGGAAAAATTCTCATCATTTTACAGCTGACATTGATAGATGTGACCGTAAGTTCTATGGTAACGGTTTCTTCGATCGCACTTCTCTCTCGTGGAACTCTCTTCCGGCTTCTTGATTTCCAGTCAACTTTGGTCTCCAAAAATATATAAATGCAATGTCAATCATTATATTCTGTTTTCCTAATTCCCGTTCTTTTTTATTCTCTTTCCTTTATAGTGTTTTTTTTCATTTTATAGAATAGTAACTCCTTGCGTCTTAGTGGCTTTATTACCTTGTTTGAGGTAAAAATGATTAAAAATATGTCATGGTGAGTTCTGTTTTGTCAGTAAGAGTGCTTAAGAGATATCTCGAGCAATAATTATTGTCAATACGTAGATAAATACGTAAGTATCGTGAGCGTTTTATTTATTGGTTATATATATATATATATATATATATATATATATATGGTTTCTATATATATATATATATATGGTTATATATATATATATATATATATATATATTTATTGGTTATATATATATATATATGTGTGTGTGTGTATGTATGTGTGTGTGTGTGTGTGTTCTTTCCATTTCCTGACTTTTTATTACCCATTTCGCCTTTTTCAAGCTGCTTTCCGTTAGAGTTCTTTTTTCCCCCTTAGGAAAAACGCTTAAGCTTGCTGATGACATGTAAATCGGGATATCAATAGATTTCTTAGTTATCATTTCTCTGAGCAACGAAAAAGCGGTGTGCTTAAAGATTTCGATTACAGATCTGCATGCTGCATAACGTAATAGTATCTTAGCGCGCATTCTCCGCCTTTCTGCGTGCGAGATTATCACAAACTCTCGAGGACTTGCCGAAAAGCGTTTAAATATTTCGAAATTTTACAAGTATGCAAGTGAGGTGCGTATTTAAATATTTTAAAAGGGTAGAACATTTAATCGTAGTAAAAAAAAAAAAAAAAAAAGACATAAGAATTTCAAATACCAGGAAAGAATAACACAAGTGTTACCGTAAATAGGTTTATATATGTTATAACTTCTCTGCGTGGGACACTTGCATATGTGTATATATCTAACTTTTCGTAGGACATAGTATTTTAAAAGTGTCTCTGAGAACTAAGCATGTTTGTTATTTCTCTTTTCTTTCAGCGATTCCGTTCCGGCCATGAAACACAGTGTTATTATATCATGAATGTAATGATGCCCATAACGAGGGGGCGGAGGTAAATGGGAGAATAAATCTTTTCCCATAACTCCCTCCCTTTATATGCTTATAAAAGTTTATATATCCGTAATGATTCTCATTTAAATTTCAGTCAGTTAGATATGTGTCATGCGTGATACACGCTTAGGCGATCATGTATCTTTTAATACATGACTGAACAGGCAGATTATTTACCACAGTAGGTTGCCATATTTTAATGCAGTAGACTAGTTGCTATCCAAAGCTATAGAACCCCGTCTGTTCTGCTATATACCCATAGCTGGAGGAAGAAGAAGAGGGTTCATACCTTTCCCAAGGGTATTAGCACGTAAATGAATGTAATGGAATTACTGGAATTCGAACACCGCTCTCCGATTTCTCAATCCATTACTCCACCTTATACTAATCATAAAAATACAATGGAGTAATGGGATAGCGGACTGAGGAATCGGAGAGCCGAGTTCGAGTTCGCGTTCGAGTTCGAGTTCGAGTTCAAACCGAATCTGTTACATTCACTTACGTGCTAATACCCTTGGAAAAAGCATGAATCCTCTTCTTCCCCCCAGCTATGGGTAAATAGCAGGACAGACCGTGTTCTATAGCCTTGTATGGCAAATGGTCTACCACAGAAAGAAATGGCAATCTACTGTGGGTAAAAAATCTGCCTCGTCAGTCATGTATCGAAAGAAAAAATTAACATTGCCAATCTGTTGAAATCTCTTTCTTGCAAATTTTGTGAGAGTTTCTACCAAACGTGTCCTTGCTGAACAAGATGGTGTGCCAAGAAATGTACGGCAAATATAGATGATATAACCATAAAGTATGAAATATGAATTTATACAGAACAAGAAGATGGTTTAAAGTCAGACGCAGATAAAAGGAAAAGAAAAGATAAACAAAAGACTGAAAAGAAAAGATAAACAAAAGACTGAAAAGAAAAACACAATAAAATAAAAACACAGGGAACGAACGGAAATATAGAAAAGAGAAAAGTAAATATAGACAGAAAGAAACAAATATAGAAAGGAGAGAAGGGAATATAGAAAGGAGCATAGAAATGAAATATAGAAAGGTGAGAAAGAAATATAGAAAGTAGAACAATATAGAAAGGAGAGGAAGACGTAGAAAAAGGAGAGTAACAAATATAGAAAGGAGAGAAGACTATATAGAAAGGTGAGAAAGGAACATAGAAAAGAGGAAAAGAAATATAGAAAGGAGAGAAGTATGTGTAGAAAAGAGAGTATGAAAATAGAGACAGGATAGAAATAAATATAGAAAGAAGAGAAAGAAATATAGAAAGGAGGGAAGAATGTATAGAAAGGAGAGAAGACTATATAGAAAAGAGGAGAAGACTATATAGAACGGAAAGAAAGAAATATAGAAAGGAGAAAAAGAAATATAGAAAGGAGAAACAGAAATATGGAAAGGAAAAATAGAACGTAAAGAAAGAAATAAAGAAAGGAAAGAAAAACAAGGAAAGGAAAGAAATATAGAAAAGAATGAAAAATAAAGAAGGAAGGAAAGAAATATAGAAAATAATGAAAGAAATAAAGGAGGAAAGAAAGAAATAAAGAAGGAAAGAAAGAAAGAAGGAAAGAAAGAAAGAAGGAAAGAAAGAAAGAAAGAAAATAATGAAAGAAAGAAATATAGAAAAGAATGAAAGAAATAAAGGAGGAAAGAAAGAAAGAAGGAAAGAAAGAAAGAAGGAAAGAAAGAAAGAAAGAAAGAAAAAAGGAAAAAAAATAATGAAAGAAAGAAATATAGAAAAGAATGAAAGAAATAAAGGAGGAATGAAAAAAATAAAGAAGGGAAGAAAAATAAGTAAAGGAAAGAAATATAGAAAATAATGAAAGAAATAAAGAAGGAAGGAAAGAAAGAAAGAAGGAAAGAAAGAAAGAAAGAAAAAAGGAAAAAATAATGAAAGAAAGAAATATAGAAAAGAATGAAAAATAAAGGAGGAATGAAAAAAATAAAGAAGGAAAGAAAGAAAGAAGGAAAGAAAGAAAGAAAGAAAGAAAAAAGGAAAAAATAATGAAAGAAAGAAATATAGAAAAGAATGAAAAATAAAGGAGGAATGAAAAAAATAAAGAAGGAAAGAAAGAAAGAAGGAAAGAAAGAAAGAAAGAAAGAAAAAAGGAAAGAAAATAATGAAAGAAAGAAATATAGAAAAGAATGAAAAATAAAGGAGGAATGAAAAAAAGAAAGAAGGAAAGAAAGAAAGAAGGAAATAAAGAAAGAAAGAAAAAAGGAAAAAAAATAATGAATGAAAGAAATATAGAAAAGAATGAAAAATAAAGGAGGAATGAAAAAAATAAAGAAGGAAAGAAAGAAAGAAGGAAAGAAAGAAAGAAAGAAATAAAAAGGAAAGAAAATAATTAAAGAAAGAAATATAGAAAAGAATGAAAGAAATAAAGGGGGAAAGAAAGAAAGAAGGAAAGAAAGAAAGAAGGAAAGAAAGAAAGAAAGAAAGAAAAAAGGAAAAAAAATAATGAAAGAAAGAAATATAGAAAAGAATGAAAGAAATAAAGGAGGAATGAAAAAATAAAGAAGGGAAGAAAAATAAGTAAAGGAAAGAAATATAGAAAAGAATGAAAGAAATAAAGAAGGAAAGAAAGAAATAAAGAAAGGAAAGAAAATAAAGAAAAGGAAAGAAATATAGAAAAGAATGAAAAAATAAAGAAGGAAGGAAAGAAATATAGAAAGGAAAGAATTATAGAAAATAATAAAAAAATAAAGAAATAAAGGAGGAATGAAAAAAATAAAGAAGGAAAGAATGAAAGAAGGAAAGAAAGAAAGAAAGAAAAAAGGAAAAAAATAAGGAAAGAAAGAAATATAGAAAAGAATGAAAGAAATAAAGGAGAAATGAAAAAAATAAAGAAGGGAAGAAAAATAAGTAAAGGAAAGAAATATAGAAAAGAATGAAAGAAATAAAGAAGGAAGGAAAGAAAGAAAGAAGGAAAGAAAGAAAGAAAGAAATAAAAAAGGAAAAAAATAATGAAAGAAAGAAATATAGAAAAGAATGAAAAATAAAGGAGGAATGAAAAAAATAAAGAAGGAAAGAAAGAAAGAAGGAAAGAAAGAAAGAAAGAAAAAAAGGAAAAAAATAATGAATGAAAGAAATATAGAAAAGAATGAAAAATAAAGGAGGAATGAAAAAAATAAAGAAGGAAAGAATGAAAGAAGGAAAGAAAGAAAGAAAGAAAAAAGGAAAAAAATAATGAAAGAAAGAAATATAGAAAAGAATGAAAGAAATAAAGGAGGAATGAAAGAAAGAAAGAAGGAAAGAAAGAAAGAAGGAAAGAAAGAAAGAAAGAAATAAAGAAGGGAAGAAAAATAAGTAAAGGAAAGAAATATAGAAAAGAAGGAAAAAATAAAGAAGGAAAGAAAGAAAGAAAAAAAAGAAATAAAGAAAGAAAAGAATGTACTGTGTCGCATATAATAGGCCAATGAAATGAACTGTTCCCAATATAGAAACGCATATTCGAGTAATGGAGGTTAGAAGGGAATAATCGTTGCGCCACGGACAAGGTTTTGGTGTCAGCTTTCGACCACCTGTGGCCATAAAAGGCGTTGGACGTGAAGATGAGTCATTTATATGCTTCATTGAACGCAATGATAACTGACCAAGAGTTCATATCGATCCATCATGGCGAACACACAGAGAAAGTTTAATCTCTTGATTTTTAATAATTTTCTTTTGCCTTTTCTCTTCTGCCGGCTTTCGATTTTCTATTTCTTTGTGACTTTTTCTTTTAAAGCATTATCTCTTTGCAAGGCAAGCACATTTAAAGAGACATATTAATAGGAAGATTTTCGTTTAAGCACTTTCTATATTTAGCTTAGCCAGGTACAAGGTCACACTTGCGGAGTATTCAGCAAAGATCGAACAGATGCTCTCCAAAACTTATTTACTAGTCACTTCTTTGCTGGGAGAAAGTGTTTATAGAAATGGCTACATCCTGGGTAAGACGATAAACTACGTCCAACAGCAAGGCTTCTGATCAGGAGGTTTGAATAGCGTGGAACCACCTCTTAATTGCTGATGTTCCCAGGTCCACCCTGACCCGAGGTTGTAACACTTGTTACGGTCTCAGCTATGGGTAAATAGTTAACCCAACCAAACTAGGGTCAAAACACTATGAAAGTGTAAAAATAGCTTTTAAAACCAGAAATACTTTGTAAAAAATTGTTACCGGCAATAGATTTTTGGAGAAAAATTATTACCAGCAATACATTATTACCAGCAACACATTTTTGGAAAAAAATACCACCAATAAAAATCTTCTTAGCATTAAGCGTTGAGGTTGATATACCGTAAAACAAACCAAAAGCAATATAGAAAAGGCCTCCCTTTGCCTTTTCTATAAATACTTTTTATGGTATTTTTTCTGATGAACTTTCCGTTATGGTACCTAGAGTTTATGAATTTAAACGAAATAATAGATTGGTGGCAAGGTCTTATCATTTTATAGTTGAAATGTAACCGTAAGTTCTATGTTAACAGTTTCTTCTATCGCACTTCTTGCTTGTGGAACTCTTTTCTTGCTTCTTGCCTTCTGATCAACTTACTCTTCAAAAATTTAAATGCAATGTCAATTGCCTTCTTAACTTTTGTTCATTTATTGTCCTTTCTCATTAACAGTAGTTTTTCTTATATTCGCTAACACTCTGTAACTCCTTCCGTCCTAGTGGCTTTATTGCCTTGCTTAAGGTGAAGTGATTAAAAAAAAAGATAACCGCAAAAATTATTGTATGTATACCGTATATACTCGTGTATAGTGCGAGGTTTTATGATCAGCTTTACCGCAAAATGTAAGGGTTCGTATTATACACAGATATCTTTATTGAAGAGTTTAAAAATTTTCGCTGATCGGTTGCATTATATACAGGTAAATTTTTCTGGAGGGGTTAAAATATATGCAAAAATATTTTGGGGTTGTACTATACATGAAGTCGACTTATAGACGAGCATATACGGCAGTCACGTTACTCTACCATAAAATCGTCTATTTATTCATGACCTCAGATTAGGACATAAATCCAGTGCCAAAATCATGATTTTTCTCTTTTACGCCATTGAACATGCTTGAAGAAGACATTTTGGTATGAAATCCCTTCTCAGCCAAGTTGGATTCGCGGTTAAACTCAGCGCTGCGAAATATCCAGATATTCTACCTGATGGGCTGTTTCCCACTGTCCAAAGACTTTATCTTAATGGAAATGTCTCCAAGCAGAATAATGTTCCTTAACATACTGCAAGATCTACCAAAACCTTGCTGAGAGAAATGACTTTGAAATAATAATGTGGCTTGACGAATCACTAGATACGGATACGAGTGAAAAGATTTGGATTTTTTTCTATGCACAGCAGACTGAATGCCGAAACTTATCAAAACCAATTTTGAGTATTAAAAAAAAAGAATTAGTGCAAAATTTAGATAATTATTGTGTTTTTTTTTACTGACAGACAAAAATAGTTTATAAAATAACAAAATAGAAGAGAGACGCCTGAAATAATCAGCGCATATGCTAAGCTATGAGGACCTACTTAGTAGGCCTAGCATAGAAATAAATAAGATATGGGAGCCGTTAATAAAGAAAGACACTGAAGTGAAAACTGATCATGTCTTGGGACATCTAGTTCTTATTTAGTCATCTCATCTTGCGGCCTCAGCCGAGATTGAACTCACCAATACTTTGATTGATGTAGTTCATAATCTTGTCAAATAGCTGAATTCTTGATGCTTCGCTAGGGCTATCAAGGGTGTTTTTTATCTTGACACCAACACTAAATGGATTGCCAACCAAGGCTGAGAGACTCCATTCACCCTCATTCAGAGTTTTCCTTCTCCTAGACCAGTTGCCATCCAAAGCTATAGAACCCAGTCTGTCCTGCTATTTACCCATAGCTGGAGGGAGAAGAAAGACGATTCACACCTTTCCCAAGGGTGTTAGCACGTAAGTGAATGTAATGGATTCGATTGGAATTCGAACTCGGCTCTCCGATTCCTCAATCCAAGCCGCTATTACTCGACCGTGCCTCCTCCTTCTTATTTAGTACTACTCACCGGCTTTCATTGAGTGCGAGTATACACGACCCAGGGATTGAACTCACAACCAGTATGTTACCCAATTCACAAAGCAGAACTTTTATCCTAGACCATGCCCCGTAGGACAATCTCTCCTACTAAACTTAGAGTCTTAAACTTAACCTAGCTGCTGACTAGTTTGTTAACTGCTGCTGCTGGCTGTTATGTTTTCACTACTGCTGTTGGCTATGTTTATTGAATGCTGCGATTGAGGTCTTGCTGTCATTTGTCTTTCTTTCTTTATTTACGGCTCCCATATTGTATTTATTTCTATGCTAGGCCTACTAAGGAGGTCCTCATAGCTTAGCATATGCGCTGATTCTTTCAGACGTCTAACTCTTCATTGTGCAGTATTTTGACTTCGTTCCGCAGGGTTTGATGAATTTTTTTGTGTGTATTACGGATTTTACAAGTAAGTATCCGAATAGCATTACTCTACGAGTTAGACTGTTTTAGTGGAGCCGTGTTGCGCATTCCTGCGTGTGCCAGAGTCAATTTTGAGGGGGCGATTGCACGCCTCTTGCTCATTGTCTCCGAAGCTCACACACTCTACTGCACTTGACAGAATGCTGATATGCAGTGATGGTCAGCATGTGGTATTAATAGACCAGAGGATCGCTAAAGCGTGAATCATTCGCCAAAATAAAGACTGGAAGCGACTTGCGAGTTCGATGATGAATTTCAGCTTGACATCTATTCGCTTTAATTCAATTCGTCAAGCGATTCGTTCCTGTACAGCCAATGATCTGACAATAATCGTTAATCATGAGCGGCGTGATCGTTTTCGCTACAAACTGCAGACTGCGTTCTGCGTAGTGTGCAGTTTTCGCATTTCCAGCGAAAAAGAAAAGACAAGAAAATATATTCCTACGATCTTGGTATTTAATAATAATAATAATAATAATAATACACCGCCATCTTTCTCTAACCTTGTCGTAAAGTATATCAGCTTATACACGGTGCATTCAAGAAATTTTGAGACATTTTTTGGTAAGACGATTATAACTTTCCTAAATCATTTTAGTTTTACATTATAATCACTTGCCAACTTTTATTATTCCAGGTTGAAGGAGACGGTTGTAAAAGCTCATTGGACACACTGCACGAAACATTGCTTCTCACAGTGCACAACGTTCATACATTTAATTTAAAAGCGGTCACAATACAGATTAGAGCAATATTATTTATTTTAAGATATTAAAACAACATGTAAAAATCGCTACAGAATTGCAGTCATGTTTCTACGCATACCAATGCGTCTCCTCAGGCTATTGTAAATAACTGGCGAGTGAACGATTAATTTGGTTTCAAAAGCAAAATACACCCTGTTTTTTCGATAAAAAAATACCGCGATTTTTTTTTTTTTTAAAGATGATATATTTTGCTTTTGAAACCAAATTGTTGGTTCACTCGCCAGTAATTTACAATCGCCTGAGGTAACGCATTGGTATGCGTCGAAACACGACTGCAATAGTGTAGCGATTTTTACATGTTGTTTTAATATATATATATATATATATATATATATATATATATATATATATATATATATATATATATAAACTATATATATACTATATACTTATTGATTTATTTTTCATCTGTTCTTTTATTTGTAAATGTTAATTTAAAGCACTTTCTCAGGTCACATTCAGTATGTAGCTCATTTGCTTTAGTAAATCTGTGTTTTAGATCACATTCGTCATGTAAACAATACGCTAAAGTTTCTACCCCATTTTCTGTTCATTCTTATCAGAAATGTGAAATAGTATATATTATATATCTTTCAATATATCTATAAGATAAATGCGTATGGCAGTGTGTCACTATGTCACACTTTTTCAACTTTACTCCTAGAGGCCGTAGACCAACATATCATACCATTTTGGAATCAGGCCGACTCCGTGAGCAAATTAAAAACATTCCGGATCGGATCCGGACCCATAATCCTGAAATTTTAGATTTCTAAGTTTTCATTACTGCGATTGTTTTCCGGCGATCTTTTTATTTGATTTTTTGCGACTAAATTTTTTTTCCGATAACAATTTTTATAACTTGGGAATAAATTTGGGAATTATCGAAATTAATTGCGAAATCCGGCGAAAGTCATCTATGAAATAAAAATAATTGTTTGTACGGAAAGTAAGGACCTGCGTACATCAAACTGTCTTTAAATTAAGTGTTGGCAGAAGAATTATCGTTGAATTTTTAAAGGGTAAGCTTAAATATTAATGCAATACTTAAATGCAGAGACTGATTTTGAATTCTGTGGATTATTGTTGCCTATCGCATCAACTACTCCCTACTTATTGTAATGAAGATCCAATCAAGAGCCCTCTGCAGGTG